TATGCAATTTGTTCTTCTATATATATATATATTGGCGTTTGATATTATCAGGAAGGCTAAAAAATGAATTCTCCACACCATCACACAATTTCAATTTGCATGTGTTGCAGGTAGGCAAATGCTCAATGCCTTCCTTATAGCAAACGGGCTCATCGATGAACGAAAAAAAAGAAGGGAATTTCCATGAAACTAGAAATTGAGTGAGCCTGTTAACAAAGTTGATTAGGGTTTCCTAGATAAAATACTTGTGGCTAAAGGCTTCAAGCAAAGATGGAGAAAGTGGATTAGAGGGTGCATCTCATCAACAAACTTCTCCATCATCATTAACAGTTAGACTAAAGGCAAGACTCTTGATTCTAGATGCCTACATCAAGGTGACCTTCCCTCATCCTTCCTTTTCATTATTACTGTTGATTGCTTCAGTAGAATTATGACACATCCAACAAATAGGAATTTGAGTAAAGGTTTCGACCTAGGTAAGAACTGTAATGATATACATCATCTACAGTAAGACGATGATGCCATCATTTTCTCCATAAATGGATGAGCATGCTTTATCTAATTTTTCTAACATGTTAAGTCTTTTTGAGGAAGCATCCACGCACAATGTGAATCACCAAAAATCCGAAATTTTGGGTCTACATATGGAAAATCAAAATGTGAAATGTCTAGCAAACAAGGGTCTCTCGAATCCATCAAAACTCTACCTTGGCCTTCCTCTCAATGGTAAGCACCACTCTTGCTCCTTTTGGGATCATAAGGGAGGGAGACTCACTCTATGCCACACTATTAAATCTCCTGTTGTCAATATGTCATGCCTTTCGAGGTGATTCAATCCTTAGAGAGCATTTTGTTTTAAAAATCTTTGAAAAGGAAATTGTGATAAAATGGGTATACATCTTATAAAATGAGAAAATATTATCCCCATGGAGGACGAGAGGCTAGGATTACATAGCCTTATGAGAAAGAGCAAGAGCGAGGCTTTACTGGTAAATGGATTTGGAGATATCAAGGAGAAAATTGGCCCAGGAAGGTCGTTGATGCCAAATACTGCTCTACTCTTGAGAACAAAAAATCTTATGGAACCTCTATATTTATCCTTTGCCAAGGGACCACGGAAAGCCATCTTAAAGCACCATAATCTGATTCATGCTCGGATGACTTCCAAGACTGAAGATGTGGCTAATACTTCATTCTGGAGTGATGTTTTGCTAATGGATGACATATTGGCACGTAACTTCCTTTTTACTATATGATATTTCTTTGAAAAATAAAACTGTTGTCAAACATATGTGAATGACCTTATCAAAAAAGAGATATGAGGAGGACTGAATCAAAAGGTTAGAATCTTAGGCAAATAATGAACTTAAAAGGATGTTGAATGAAGCTAAGGAATGGTACATTCTTTGCACCACCTGTCCTCATCTCAGCTATCCAAATCTTGGACAAGAATCTTCAAAGCTGTAACCAAATGTTACTTTCACTGCAAACCCTCTCTTGCTGATCTCTCACAATACACCGTCTATCCCCCACTTATATTATACCATTTGGAAAGACCACTACTTTAAGAAGGTGAAATTCTTACTCTAAGAGATTAGCCACAAGGCGGTACACACATGCTAAACTTCCATGTAGAATATCTTATATAAGTATATCTCCTCGTTAGTGCCCTATTTGCAAGAATAACTCCAAATTTCAGAGCCACATTTTTTTTTTCATGTGAATATGCACAAACTTTTTCTTTCAACATCTGGATAGTCTACGACTCCCCCTAATGGTCTTACTCTTAGCCTCTCTATTACTCTTATCAAACATCCTTTTTGAGTTCAACACTCGTGGGATGGGGGATCAAACCATCAACCTCTGGTATGGTAATTGGTATTTTTTCCATTAAGCTAGGCTCGAATTGGCTATTTGTGGACATCCTTTTAAAATAGAAGAGAAGCTCCTTTAGGTGAACTTTGTCAGGGCATTCTTTTGAAGCTCTTCGCAAAGAAGTCCTAAAAGATAAGGAACTTCCTTTTGATTGGATTGTTTTATATGAACTTTGATGCTATGGTTTATTTGGCTACTACTTCGTATAAGTGCTCCCTCTTTTTCCATCACTACACCTTTTTTCTTTCTTTTATTCATTTGGAGAGACTTTATGTAACTCTCTTGGATTGGGGTTTTTCCCCTCTTTAGTAATCTCATACCGTCAATGAAATCGTTTCTTATAAGAAAATAAAAACAAAATGAAAACAAAACAAAACTATATGTAATATAGGAAATCATTCCAAAAAAAAAAAAAAAAACTAAATGCATTCTCTCAAGGCAGAAGTTCAAAATAAACAAGCAAACATTATCTCGATGTCTTTAAGAAGTAATTTCAAGCACACAAAACAGAAATTGTCATATTTCCTTTTACTCCATGCTACCAAATACTTGGAAGGGATGCAGGTGCATACTTGTAGAATTCTCTGCATTAACATTCTTAGGATGTACAACAAAAGCCTTGGAAACTTTCTTAATTTCGTCAACGATGTTGAAAAGCTCGAGATTCACCATAGAATATTGCCCCAATATGTCTTGCCTGGTGTAGAAATCAACTACACATTTAGCCAGATTTGGAGAAAATTGAATATATATATATATATATAGAGAGAGAGAGAGAGAGAGAGATTACGATGCTTTGATGTTTAGAAAAATAATTAGTACATGTAAGTCCAGAAGATAGGAAAAATGATTTACTTTCTAACATCAACGAGCTATTAGAAAGTGTAATGAAGCGAAATAAAAGAATCTACATGCTCGAGTCCTTCCCCTCCCCACATCAGATTGTCTTTTACTCCCCGGCAGAAATAACACAACGATTCTCAACGTTCAAACAACATAACTTCAGTTCTTTATCAATCGAAAGCCAATCAGGAACTTAAAAATTCAAGCATATTTGGAAAATATCACAAGAAAAAACGATGCGAAAGATGAAAGTGGACCATTTAGGTGTCGTATTGGTGCGACCGTAGACATCAAAATCTTCGAGGATCCGAGAGATGGCTTTAAATAGAGTAGTAGCTCGAGTCTTCACAGCCTCCAGGTTCAACTGTTGCTGTACCGCCTGGTTTAGCCTTTCTGCGACAACCGCCTGCGGCGCCAGGAGAGGCTGTTGCTGCTGAGGCTGATTCTGCACCACTCCATCCATGGTCGCCATTAGCGAGAGACAACAGTAACCCTGTTGACAATGGCACGCAACGAGAACAGCGATTGCAGATCTCTCTCAGGACCTGGCGAGGCTTGTGCTCCAATTGATACCGTTTTAACTGGAACCTGACTCCGTTCGGGCTTCAGGGGTAACAAAACCAGGAAATCTATTCATTGGGTTCTTTTTTCTCTTTTTTTATCAATTTTCGCAGCCGAAAATTCGGATTTTAAAAACAATGAAATATTTAATATTTATTATTTATTATTTTTAGGAAATTAGCTTGGGAAAATTAAATGTATGTGTTTGTCTCACCCGATTGTAAATAAAAACAAAAAGTAAATAATAAAATATCAAGTATTAAAAAAGTATATTATAATGATTGTATATATACATTTTTAATATAATCCGGATATGTTTTACCAATTTTGTCAGAATTATAATGAGTTAATTAAATGTTAGAGCATAAATGGATGTAATAAAAAAAATTAAAATGGTATTGTTGTATTAATTAATTAGCTAGTTAAATTTAAAAATATATTTACTTTTAAAACAATATTAACAATTTAAAGATCTATAAAAAAAAATTCAATTATGAGTTTATTTAAATTTGGTTGAATTTAAAATAAATAAAAATTTTATGCATTCAATTAATTCGTATGTTTCTCTAAAATTAGATCTATCAAACTAAACTAATTCAAATTTAGCCTTAATTTAAAATATATATTTTATAATTATATATACATGCATACATAGTTTCAATTAATTTCATAATTAATTTTTAATTATTTATTCTCTAATAATTAAAATTTTAAAATATATATTAAAATTAAATTATAAATTTTAATTATTTAAAAATAAATAAATAAACATTTTACTTCTAAAAATAAAAACTTATTTAAATAAATGATTTAGAGAAGTTAACTAATCAAATTTAAAAAAATTTAATGTTAAATTGAGTTGGATTAGTTATTTAATAATTATTATTTGGGTTGACAAATTTACAACTCAAATAATTGGATTGGGTCTAAAAGAACCCACAAACACCCTATAATAACCCTTAAGTAATTTAAATAATAAATAAATACAAATTAATTAAATAGTTATGATAGTATAGAATATTAGTTATAAATGTAATGAATTAAAGTTTATTAAAATCTAAATAATGTATGGATATTTAATAATTGATAATATATAATTAGTAAGGACTAATATTAATTAATTAATTAATTAGATTATATTTTAGGTTTATTTTTGGGATATATATATCCAATATGACAAATTCTAATAATATTATTTTTCAATTTTGAGAAGTATGCGAGATTCCATTTTTGGGAAAAAAAAATCTAAAAATAAAATAAATAAATAAAAATATAAAATATAAATGGTACACCTGCCTCGCATTCTCTGCTTCCGAATCCGCGCTATTACGTGGATCTACACATTTGGTCCGTCCCGTGACCGCTCTGTTCCTTTCAATCATCCATTCAATTCAATCAATTTGGAAATTTCATCTTCTTCTTCCTCATCTAATTTTCAATCCCTCCTCTGATTCCTGCAGACATCGGATCCTCCGGAGATCCTTCATGGATTCCTAAACTACGCGTTCTCGTCTGCTCTTGTTCTGCGCTTTCGCCGGTATGACTTTGATTCCTTGATCTATCTATCTTCTCCCTGGTTTCAATTCATCCATTTTATCCGAAAATTTATTCTGTTCTTAATCGTTGTAGGCTTTTTTTTTCTTTTCCTTGTTCCTTTTTCCTGTGAAGGCCAAAAGTTACTGGCGATCTAAGAAAGGGAACATGTATTCACTGGAAAATATTGATTTTTAGATATTGTGGTTTCATGTATTTTGCTGCTTTTGTGCGCTCACTTTGCATTGATCTTTAATTATAAGTTCATTTCAGTACGTTTCTTTGCACAAACAATTAGATTCTTTTTAATGGATGCTACTAAACGAACATAAACGACGGGATGGTTATGATTTTAGTCTGAAACTGAATCATTTTCATCATAACCGAGAATCCTAAATACAGAAAATGCTTTTGTCAAAAGCTTGAATTGCTAAGATTATGTTGTCACATGAACACGCGAGTATGTACAGTTTTGTTACCTCTCAAGGCAAACAGTAGCCACAAATTTCTCGCATTCGCGTATAGAGGACTAGCAGAAGAAGGAAGTTGTGAGAAAAAAAGATATGGAGGACTGGAATAAATATAATCTCAGCTAGCGCACTAAAAATTTGAGGCTGCTGGAATGTGATTGTGAAAACTGACTGGTGAGCTATGCTAAACTGGATGCTAGGTAACAGTTAAACGTCCATTTGGAAGCTCAGTATAGGTCAGAGAACGTAGATTCATTGCATCTCTCTCTCTCTCTCTCGCTAAATTTATAGTATTCTATGATCTCAAGGAACGAGGATGTAGATTAATTCAGCCTATTCTTTCAAGTCTTGTTAACGAACAATATTTGTAGATTAACGGGCACAACAAACTATTCCACCTCCCTTAAGCTCGTAACGTAAGATTCAATGCAGCGTAGTTGTTTTTTAGGTCATTCATTAACATTTATACAAGGACCTACTTCTCATTTCATTATGTCAATTTGAGGATCTATGAACCTCTCCTGATTTGAGAATAAAATTTTGGGGCATGTTCTGCATTGATGGATATGATTGGCTGATCAGGAAGCTTGGTAGTTGGTTTCATCAGCTCTAAAAGAATAATTTACGTTGGAATTCAGAAAGTTCGAGGTAGTTCATAATTGCATGAAAGAAGAATATATAGTGGTTGTGGCAGCTGGCGAGACATTTCATAGCCACCCTCGTCTCCCAAGCTTTGTCACTGCTCTGAAGAATTAAGGAACCGGCAAACTTCAACACAAGAGAGCAGGAAGTACTAACCATACCAAACCTATTTCCCATTGATAGGCTAGGTGCCAGGAGTTCACTTCCATGCCTGGCCAATTATAATGAATAGTTGTGGCCATGGCACCCCCAAGGAATCTCAAGCACTTATTTGAGAACTGACTGAAGTATTAACATTCATGGCATAGGGTTTGCAGTGTTGAACCAATGATGTAATTTATTCACTGTTGAAATAAAAAAGTAAGGTTGCATGTAAGGTAACCTCCCCCTAAATTTGAAATATAAAGAAATTGTCATTGCTTGGTCTAGGATTGTGCTTTAGCATGGAGATGTGGAAGTTATGAGAACAGAGCGAAATATAATCCTGTGGTTAAATGTGTACACTTGATTTTCTATGCATATGATTTCATGTCAACGTGATTGCTTTTCTTTCCCGAATTATGCAGGTTCGTTGGTTTCCATGTAAATGGTCAACCTGAACAATAGCTCAGGCGATGACTATGCAAGTCTGACTCAAGAGCGAGGCTTCACACCATGCAACTGGTACCAAATAATGATGAAAATACAGATGATATTCTGGAACGTGCGCCCATTTTAAGTCAATTGGATTTTCTGCCACAGTCAGTGGGATCATCATCCTCTGCTGAGATTATAGCTATAGGTAGAGAGAGCTCTGGTAGTGATGATGATTCACACAATCTTAATGTTGATGAAACCAGTCATCTGGTGAATGCAGACCAACCACAATGTCGTATATGCCTTGACACTGGAGGTTTTTAACATTTCTTTCTGTTCAATATGTAATGCAATTTCATCAATTTCAATTAAGACTGTGTTCCACAAATATTATTTTAACAAAGCAAGAACATTACACTTACGTTCACTTGTAGGTTAAGACAGTGTCAGTACATGTATGTATATTCTGTTTTTCATATTCTGAAGCTTCGATTTACTATTTTTAGTATGAAAATGAATTTGGTTTCAGGAGAAGATTTAATTGCTCCATGCCACTGCAAAGGCACTCAAAAGTATGTCCATAGATCATGTCTTGATAATTGGAGGTCCACAAAGGTCAGTTTTCCCTCATTTCATATTGCTTCTCTACAGTTAATCAACACTCTTTTTCTGGGGCCATGGGCTGTGGTATCGAGTGCTACCAAATCATAAAACTTCCACGGGCTGATAACCTATCTAACACATCTCCTTTCATATATCTTTCAAACGTGTCAAATTCTAGAATGATCAAGTTTTCAAGTTTTTTTTTTTTTAATTCTAATTCTAATTCATTTGAGTAATTGTATCAGGAGGGCTTTGCTTTTGCTCATTGTACAGAGTGCAGAGCTATGTTCGTGTTACGTGCAAATGTCCCTTCTGATCGCTGGTGGTTGAGACTGAAGTTTCAATTTCTTGTTGCTAGGGACCATGCGTTCATTTTCATTATTGTTCAACTGGTAAATTATTGTAATTATATGTTTAGTTTGCCATCCACTTTTCTGCCAAGGTGTTTAGTTCAAGTTTGGCTAAATATCCTTCATTATCGTTATGATATAAATTCATTTCATTGTTATGATTGATTTTTCTAGAGGGGTCTTCGCTATGTGCTTTGAACAGATTGTGGCATTCTTGGGGGTGTTGGTGTACAAATTCTACGGAGAGGAACTAAGGGAAATGTTTGGTTATGAAGAACACCCATATGGGTTCTATGCCATGGCTGGTATACTGAGGCTGCCAATTAATTCCTTACTTTTTATTCTTCTTTATACATGTATTGAACATTTTAGTGTAAGTGAATGTTCTCACACAATATTTTGGTTTCATTCGATTAGAAGAATTTAGGATTAGCAGTTGAACGAATCCTTGCCTGAAATCGAGTGCCGGCTTTAGGAAATGTAGTTGCTCTACTATCTATCTTTTTAATTCTTCATTCTACAATTTCTTTTCTGCAGTCTTGGCGATCATCTTGGTTGGCTTACTCTATGGTTTCTTCATAGCCATTATATGCGGGCAGAGGATAAATGAACGCCACTACCATGTCCTTGCTAAGCAAGAACTGACAAAGGTCCAGTAACGATTTAAAGAGAATAATATTGTCAAGTTATTTCCATTTTATCTCATTTCATCTCTCCAATATGGGGAACTGTTGGGTTCCTTCATTCTTCTCAAATTGTCAAAATCCTTGTGCTTACTAAGCTGATAATAGCTTTCTTGGTTTCAGGAATATATAGTTGAAGATCGAGAACATAACAAGAACGTTCCTGAATTAGACCCCAGCCATGTTATGGAGCTAAGGATGTTGGGGCTGTATTAATCTGAAATTGGTGAATCCAACATTGGGCACTTGAAGTCTTCAAGTAAGGAACTCTATCCTGTATTCCTTTCCACTCCTATGTATCGCAACTGGAGAATTAGTAAAAATATAGGTAGAGTTGGCTCACCATTACGTTGCATAATCTTTTGCAACTTGAGATTTTAATTTGTATTATACTGCAAGAATCCCCATATAATTGGAGGCTTTCATTTTTTGATCTCGTGATCTTAGACGTACTTTTGTGTTTGACCAAACAAAGCAAATTTTTCCTTCTGGTTTGATCTTGTTTGAACAAATAACTGCAATGAAAAACCTTAATATTTGAATGGTTTAAATTAGTACCTTCAATCATACATCATCCAATTTATGATCTGAAACTACTAACTATACTTTAGTTATTGAATTGTCCATTCAGATGACAGGCCAAGTTCGTCCATAGGTTTCTAATAATTTAATTTTAGTGATTTGAATTAGGTTTTGATCAGCAAATTTTGAAATAATAAAATGTTGATGATGAACATCTCTCTCCTCTCCAATCATGCCCTCTTCCCCTTCCTCTCTGTGGCGCTAACGACTTCCTGCTTTTTCTTCTCCATCTTATCCTCCTCCTTCTTCTCATGGAAACACCCAGATTTGAAAACAGAGAATCCTTTCTCTCGCTCCCAAATATAAGAGAAAAAAGAGGAAAAAAAAAAAAAAAAAAAAAAAAAAAAAAAAAAAAAAAAAAAAAAAAAAAAAAAAAAAAA